GACAATAAGGTAAAAAAAAAAAAAAGACAAAAGTAGTAATATTGTGAGAAAAACGTCATATTATGAGAATTAAGAGGAACATTTCCAGATTAGTCACAGTTTGCAGAACTATTTAAGTCCTGGAGTAATAGGATCTTCTATTAATTATAGAGTACAGAATCAGGAGAATAAGGCCAATGGGATATGAAAAAAAAAACACTGTAATACTACAGAAATTAAAATATTACAAATATAAATTATATTCTGAGAATTATTTCCCTCTGATACTGTTTAGGTGTCTGGGTCTAACAGCAGATTTGCCACATTCAATATGGCGGACGCTCTGACCCCTCCTCAGCATAGGCAGACCTCGTCCAACGAGGCTTCTACATATATAATGCCTATGTGTAAACCTACTTAGTGTTAGACAGGTAGCAGCCTGTTTAACATCCGGTCTTGTAGATTTATTTGCAGCAAGAAAGTATCGACTCAGAGGGGTCGAAAAAATGCAGGCCAAACCTTTCAGATTCTCATTTGCATTGATACATAGATCACACCAAATCCTGATTAAAGCATGAGCTGAAGGCATCAGCCCCATTTCCAAACCATCATGAAATACCATATTTATTAGTTCCTTTAATTGAAGAAGACAAAGAAAAAAAGGTTTTTCAGGAGACAAAAAAAATGCTTGCAGCGGCTATAATGACCTACCTCTGTGTAGATAATAGCCGTCATCCAGAAGCGTTTGGTGGGCCGTGGCACAGACAGCATGGCCCAGAGGAATATCAGAATCGGCAAGATGAGGGAGAGAAATGAAGCGGACACAATGTGGTTGAGAATGATGACAAAGTAGCACAGCATCTCTGACTTGGACACCATGGTGTTATAGAGGGCAAAAAGCAGCTTGACTGGCCTCGGTATTGTCTTAAAAAACTTATCAGACTCTTTGATCTCATCGTTTTCAAACATGCTGTAGGACAGTGAGAAAGAGAAGCAAGAGAAAAAAACATTGTGATATGTTAAAACAGACGGTTTGCTTTTAAATAATTCTAATTTCTACTGACTTGTTGAGCAGCAGCTCGCTGGCAGTGAGGTTCCTTGTTTCCTGAGTCAGAGGTCTGGGAGTCTCTGTGAGGTTAAGACTTTTTTCTTCTTTGCTCTCTTGCCTATCCAGTGAGATGCACTCCATGTATCTGGAGAATCCACCCTCTTCTCTCTGCTGCAGTTCTTCATCCAGCTCATCTTTCTTCAGTCCTGGATCATCTTGTTGGTCTTCTTTATCCACTTCCTTTTGATCCAGGTCAGATTTCTCACTAATCTCTGCAGTATTCAATACATCCTCATCTTGTATCGGATCTTGATGATGATGATCATCATTATCGTCACTGTCTCCTTGGCTTTTAAGAAAAGAAAAATGATCATAATTGCTGGCATGACGCCACACCAAAGATTACAGCATAAATTACTTCTGATAAAAAGAAAAATGAAAATGAAGCAGCTAAACTGAGAAACCCAAACCAAATATTAATTTCTATAACCTTTTTATTTGGGAAATGTCTTTATCAAAAGGTGCCTTACATGGTTTTTCTATACAATAAATGTTTTAATATTATGGTTTCAAACTGTTTTTGGGGGGATTTCTGTCCTTGAAATGGATGGAAATAAAATA